TTATCAACATCTTGTAAGTAGCCACTGCTGACTATAGGCATCTTCTCACACGGAGAAGGTTTGAGCATTAATCCCCACGCTTGCTCAATGCGGGTTGGCGATTTAAAACTTATAATTAGAAATTATAAGCTCAGGTGTCCAGACAATGTTTTCTTTCACTGTTTGTCAGTGATGTCTAGATAATCTTTAAAAGTAGGTACATATAACTCGGAAAAAGTCACATTGGTACTTGTCGTTGGTAGGTTTCAAACCCGTACTCTCATACATGAGAAGCAGGCCTCTTAATCTTCAGGCCACCACGACGTTTGATGCATAAAGTAATTAAATTGATATGCCGTATTCAATCAGGATTCAGACCTCTTACTTGTAATTCTAAACACTGACTGATTACGAATTACATTTAAATTTCATTTAATTAATTTGGCTGGCTTGTAAAAAGTGTAACTCAATATTGGAAAATAAAATTAGACCTTTCCGCTATCTCTAGTCTTAAGAGATCTCCTTTCCTAGTCCTAGTCTTGTAATTCTACATTATTACTTTGTAGTTTTGCTTTAACATCATTGAGGTGAAGAAACTTTAGTGAACATTTAGATCCCTGATTGATACTTTAAGCCTCTTGTGGATTGTTAAGTTTGTTGAAGTATGGTTAGTTTGGACCGCTATGGTAGTTAGCAGGTGATATTAATGGTCGGGTCTTATCCCAAGTGTGTTTGGTTATTGATTGTCTTCTACTATTGATTTCTATTAATTTGATATTTGCATGTTTGATTAAGACTTATGTTTGACCTTGACTTACGTATATATTGAGTCAATGTTTAACCATCACATTTGTGTGTAAAGAAAATCAATTCCTTTAGTATTGGCTTTTCAATAACATGCAATTATGCTTAACACATCTTATGTGGCTGATAGAGAGAATCCATTGTCTTGTAAAATAAGTTGACACTTTTCAAAGACTATTTTCGACTTAAGATTTATAAGAGTATAATATTTGCATTCTATCACATTTATGTTTTTATTTTTTTTTATGGCATGAGCCGGTAAACGAGTAGACGGATCATCTGATGATAAGCAATCGGCGTCGCCCATGGACACCTGCAACACCAGAGGCGTTACAAGTGCGTTACTGGTCTTTTGGGGAATTAGGAGTGTGAGGATCGTTGAGAATTCAGGAATTGGGGAGATTGGGGAAGGGGAGGGTAATTGGGCCACCGGTAACCTCACTCACACGACGAAACACAACGCAAGCGTTGCTTCACGTCGGTTTTCTGTGAGGCCGTGGTATGACTCCGGTCGAGCCGGCCCATTCGTGCCGAAGCATAGCTCTCCCACACTTGTTTTTGTTTAGGAAAAGTCTGTCTTAAAGTCAAATAATAACGTTAGATTTACAGTAAAATTATCATAAATATTACAACCCAACTCTGGAAGCATAAAAATATGCATAAAATGGTAACCGTAGTTTCCTTATTCACCTGTTAATATATGTATTCCGTACTATTGTAATATTATCTGTAGATTTACATGATAAAACAGCAACACCTCTACCGGCGGAGGCACATTAATCAGCCTTAGAACCTGCGTAGACGAAGAACATTTTGTTGAGTAAAAAAGGAAAGATCTACTGGTAACTTCAACTGAATCAGCATCATCAGCAGCCAGTAACACTGGAATACTATGAGCGCTTTCTCTCAGTAAGACGATTTTTTATAATTTTTACGCTAACATACCAAGTTGGATTAGGGATCGCAGTTCAGAGAGAACTGCTATGTGTCTGTCAAATGACACTATTGCAATTACTGTAACCAAAGACAAAAATTTATGATAATTCTGGTAATTTGGTCAATACATGTCGGTTGCAGCAGAATAATTCGTCAGAAGACTAAAAGTATGCCGTAATGTAGTTAAGTCATGTCAATTGGGATGATGACAGGGTATGAAAATTAAAAACATAATTAGTCCGTAAGTTAAGGTAATGAAAAAATATTAGACACGTATTTTTTTATTTTGTCGTATAATAAAACAATACTTAAATAAAACGAATCAAAGTTTAGGAGTGGTGGCTAAAACGTCATTTCTATGTATAAAATGTACATAGAAGTGACGTCTCGCGACATTTCAAATCAATATATCTTCGAAAGTATTAGTTTCTGTAACAAAATAAACAAAACATGTCTAATGATTTAAAATAACCTACCACACGGACATTAAAATAAAAATTAGGCATCTACCCTGTTGGAAAAAGTCCCTCGTCTGCACAAACCCATAAGAGAACATTTCAATACATTTCCTATCGTCGCTACACTGCGAACTATGCATTATTGATTAGAACGCACACATACTGTGTTGGAACTCATTTCTCGAATGCAAGTCAGTTGTGGTGAATTAAATTCGGTTACAGGTTTCTGTGAGTTCATTAAATCTAAAATGTAGGGTTCCTGATTATATTTTGTGTTATATTAAGGACAAAAGCTTAATAGTTTTTGAAAGGCGACACGTTTGTGACTATTCGGGTTTTGTGGTCCCTGGTGCTAATAATCGCTTACCATCAGGTGATCCCTTTGCTCGTTTGCGTAGATATAATTTTCCTCGAAATTAAGGATGTTTATTCAGCTTCAGGATTCAGCAGTTGTCAGTCGTATTTCGATTTGGAATACAGATTATAATTGATCAACAACTCTTGTATTAAATATACTGGAGGTATATCTGTGGGTTAAAGGTTATTAACCCTTATTCCTGGAAGGCAGATTATGTTTAAAATCTGTGACGACTCGTACTTATTTTTGTGTACTGTGGATTGTGTATATTTTATTATAAAATAAGAACAACATTACTCCCTAGTCTTCTACGCCTTCTAAGAATAAAATAAAGTGAGTATTATGCAATTATGTGTATATGAGTTACTTGTGCAAATTAATAATAGCAACCCGTTGTATGTAAAAATATTAGCCGTAATTTTTGGAATCGATCTAAAGTTGTAGCTTATTAAGATTGTGATGCGAAATCGTACAATTTAATTCGAAACAGGTACCATTTTCAGTAATTACAATTACTGAGATTCCATAAAATTCGTCGTCACCATACAATACGCGCAATGAAATCAAAATTAATATTAAACAAAATACCGAGAACATGGGCAGTGGGCACATTAATTAGTATGAACTAGAAAAACCACATTATATCCCTAGGTAAGGTTACAGAAATTAATTTACCACGAACTGTCGAAACATTGGAAAATTAAACATAATTTATTTTGCGAACGTAGGAAGGACTGAAGCTGAATTTAGGTTCCCAAATGGCTAACATTACGTTGTATGCTGAACCCTTTCAGCTATTTGCCTCTTTAATTGTTACATAAACCAAATAAAACGAGCTATTCGAGGTTGGTCGGCCGAGTGGCAATCATCTAAAGAGCCACTGGACTGGTTTAAAAACAGCGTGATTGGGGAATGAATAGGTATTTGTTGTGTAAGCGGAGTATTCGTGGTTGAAAAGCGTGCATGTGTTTTTTTGTGTGCATTGTGGCCACAGACTATTTAGACAACTGCTTCAAAAAGATCAACTATCACTACTAACGGCAATCTGGTTAAACACAATATATATCATTCATTAATACAAAAAAAAAACACTACTTTTATCGATTTGAGCATCGAATAGTTTTCAACAAGAACATTTATTCTTAAAATTACACTTGAATATAGCAATATCTGAACTGAAAATCTCTAGCATATTAATATTAATTAATTTTCGATACTTAGATCGGCATTGCAGTCTTTATGTAGCTATATTTAAAGTCACCAATATCAATTAAAACTTCAATTAATAAATAGCAAATAAACTTTTGCTATCTTGCAAAATGAAAATCAATTAATTGGTAAACGTATTACCGTGGATCAGCGATTCTCAGAAGGCAATAGTCGTTAATTTAAGATTATGCAAAACTTGCCAATATTTTCAAAATGATACAAATTAATTTTCATTTCGCTATTGAACAACACTGTTCATAGTCACGAATTTATATTTCCCACCCTGATAAATGTAAACGTATAATGAGTATTGCCTTGGACTTTTATAGGTAGGTAATTTATACTTAAAATCTTTATACTATAGGACTACCTCGTTCGCCGAGTGGTCGCAAGTGCGACTGCCGGGCAATGCGATTCGGGTTCGATTCACGGGTCGGGCAAAGTACTACTGGGTTTTTAAAATATTCTCAGTGGTAGGCTGGTACCACGGAGTCTGGAATTTTGCCCGGTATATGGCAATAGGCTCACCCCCTATTACAAGGGATTCATAAAATAAATAGTAAGAAGTGGGTGTTACATTGTACAGTGGCATTAAGTGCCGTAATGTGCACCTCAGCCTACCCCTTCGGGATAAAAGGCGTGATGTTATCTTATGTTACTTTATACTTTTGCCACCGATTTTTTATTAAAAAGGTTTATACATATCATAATTCCATCTATTTCTGTCCTTTAATTGATTTCGTGATATTTTATAAAACATGTAAACTAAATTAGTAATAGTTTTCTTAGGTCAGTTTCGGATCAAATTTAAAATATGCTTCGCAGTTATTTCTTCAAACACATATCAATTTTTGTCACAGTATGGATTTTACGATTCTATTTTAGATGTTGTTGTCAAAAAAGAGAAATGAGAATTCAGTAATTAGAATCCGCAGAGTTGGGGTTGTAGCCTTCTTTTTTTGGTACAGGGTACCAATGCAACATACGAGGTTCCAGTGGATTTGTGCCAGCTATTTTTTCATACGTTACTGGGAAACTTTGTATGAAGTTTATTTTTCATGCATGAATATTATTAGTCCACTAACTACTTCCGCGCGGTTTTACCCGCTCAACTCAGCTCCTATTGATAAACTTATCATCATCATCAGCCCGTGTTCGTTCACTGCTGGTATTGATGCACAGACCGACAGACACGACAGGCACGTCAGACATAATAAACACGTCAGACCACGACAGACACCACAGACACGATAAACATGACAGATACAAAAGACACGACAGATAGGACAGAAACGACAGGTACGACATACACAACAGGTATGGAAGATATGACAAACACGTCAGATACGACACATCAGTCACAACTGATGCGACAGATACGACAAACACGACGGATAAAACAAAAACGAAGTATACGACAACACGACGGATATTTATTATACGACGAATACGACAAATGTAACAAATGCGACAGATACGAAAAATACGACAAATCCGACCAACACGACAGATGCGACCGACAGGACAGATGCGACAAATACGACAAATCCGACCGACACGACAAATACGACAAATCCGACCGACACGACAAATACGACAAATCCGACCGACACGACAAATACGACATATGCGACAAACAAATACGACAGATCCGAAAAATACGACAGATGCGACAAAACCGACAATTCCGACCGACACGACAGGTACGACAAATACGACAAATCTGACCGACACGACAGATACGACAAATACGTCAGATGCGACAGACAAATACGACAGATGCGACAAGTATGACAAATCCGACAAATACGACAGATGCGGCCGACACGACACATACGACAAATACGACAAATGCGATAGATACGACAAATAAGACAGATGCGACAAATCCGACCAACACGACAGATGCGACCATCACGACATATACGACAGATGCGACAAATACGACCGACACGACAGATGCGACAAAAACGACAATTCCGACCGACATGACAGGTACGACAAATACGACAAATACGACAGATGCGACAGACAAATACGACAGATGCGACAAATATGACAAATACGACAGATTCGACCGATACGACAAATGCGACGGATACGACAAATACAACCGACACGACAGATGCGACCGACACGACATATACGACAGATGCGACAAATACTACAAGTACGACCGACACGACAGATGCGACCGACACGACATATACGACAGCTGCGACAAATACGACAAGTACGACACACACGACAAATACGACCGACACGACAAATACGACCGATACGACAAATACGACAAATGCGACGGATACGACGAATACAACCGACACGACAGATGCGACCGACACGACATATACGACAGATGCGACAAATACGACAAGTACGACCGACACGACAGATGCGACATTTACGACAATTCCGACCGACACGACAGGTACGACAAATACGACAAATGCGACCAACACGACAGATGCCACCGACAGGACAGATGCGACAAATACGACAAATCCGACTGACACGACAAATACGACAAAACCGACCGACACGACAAATACGACAAATCCGACCGACACGACAAATACGACAAATCCGACCGACACGACAAATACGACATATGCGACAAACAAATACGACAGATCCGAAAAATACGACAGATGCGACAAAACCGACAATTCCGACCGACAGGACAGGTACGACAAATACGACAAATCCGACCGACACGACAGATACGACAAATACGACAGATTCGACAAATACGACAAATACGACAGATGCGACAAATACGACTGATACGACAAATACGACAAATACAAATATAAAAGATATATAATATTATAGAAAGAAATAGATATTTACTACGTTAGTTCATCTACCAGTATTCAGTCCCTTCATATAACATTACATTGTAGTGAAGTACACAGAACGGCTGATATTTTAAAGCCATAAACAGGAAGTGTCACAAACTAAATTAATGATATAACGAAACTTGCGTATGTACCTATAAGTGCGCCTATATATTTGTGTTCCACACGGCAGTCAGGCCCATACTCCTGTTGAATTTAGTGATTGATGATACTTTATAATGGGATTTGTTCTGATTCCTATTTAATTTCCTGTACGGATATTTAGCTGTCGTTATATTATAAATTCGACGGAATTATTTACTTTCGTGTATAACCTTCATTTTGGTATTCCGTGCTATGGATTAATGCTCCACTTTTCTTGGAAATTTCCAAACAATTATAGTGTAGCACTAAAAGTTAGTCTGTTTCGTTATTGTACACTAATGGGCCCATTTGAATACTCAAATACTTTATGGCTACAATATTTTTAATGTTTCATTTCTAATGTTAATATTTACAATAATTGAGTCTGCGTTCATGTCATTATATTATCATATTCCATGAAATTTGGGCTTTAGTGATACGATCACTCGATATATTAAATTCATGTACCTATTTAATGGGCATACCTAAGTATGAATACAAAAACTTATTTTTTTTAAATATATAAAACTAAAACACTTTAAATATTATTTATTTCAATACTTATAAGTCGGGACAATTCGTACATTGTTAACTTGGTAATTCAATATAAACATCAACCAACGCGGTGTATTGAAATGGTAACAAAAAATACGTTTTCATTTTATTGTTACCAAAATTGATTTAAAGAAAGGATTGATTTAATTAACAGATATCGAAACTCAACCTATTGTGTTTTTCACCGGCTTGATTAGATTTTCGTAAAACAATGTGTAAAGGGACAGATAACAAATTGAATCGCGAGTTTATTAAAATTTGTTCGTGTTTACGGCAACATAATTCTTTTGGACCCTATTGGAGCACAATGAAGAGGAATGTCAACAAAATATCGAGTCACAATAACGAATGTAATGAAAAACAATAACGCTGGAATGAAATCACAACATCACGTCACTATCATGTGCCGCTCACTTCGTGTACGTATGTTGACTTAATAAAGCCTGTGCGCCACCACAAAATAGCATCTCTCAAACTGTCATATCTCACACGACCTTTAATTTAATTATTCATTTAAATTCCACAAAATCCTGCAGTATACTTTACCTATTATCATAAGTACACGTTTCTGTTTAAAACAAAAACACAAACGAGAGCATTATTACACAAACTCGTACTTATTTTAAGCATAAAATTTTAGGAGTGCTTTTAAAATTAAAAAGCAAAAAATTCGTTTCATGAATTCATGATACGGAACAAAACAGAGGCAGGTATGCAAAAACTCCCACATTCTAAAAAAAGTTTATAATAAAACAATCTGAAGCTCCGGGTGTAATACGGTGAAAAATGAGACGAAAGAATTTAAAATGGCCAACATTTACGGAATATTTCGTGCAGCAAAAATAGGATAAAAGAGTGGGATACGTTATGAGAGTGTTGTTCATAATTATTCCATTACATAATGTGGGAGATGTACAAAAAGTAAACAATGAGTTTGTTGTGTCGTGCTCCTGAATGGACGGCGTTCGGTAAAAATACTGCAGCTGAATTTCTTAATATTTACGTGGCACGTTCACAGCAACAGGCGAGTTACAGCGAAAACATAGCGTTGCGAGCGCAAGCCACAAACCCCCAGAGATTCAGACGACTCGCTTGGAATAGCTTTGTGTCGTATTCCTTTGTCTTTAACTGAGCATCCTACTATCTCTCTAGACCTGCTTATATATTCACAACTTAGCCCCGAGCCCCCGTCTGCCACTCCGCACATATATTCTCCCAGCTGATTGTTTCGATAAACACGCTTAGAAATGCTCTCTCATGCAGAAAAAAAACTTAGGCACTCCCATTTATAAAAAGTTATTAAGGGAGATTCCATTTTTCATATACCGTTTTAATCTCCATAATATGATGTACTTTATTGCTAAAAATATTAATGCTATAAAATTCGCCCATTGAACGTTATCGGTGGATCATAAAGAACTCGAAGATGTTTTCGTCGTACTTTTTGAAAATTAAATTCTTTTACGAATAATGTTTAAAAACGTTGCCATAGCCGTCAAAATTTATTGAATAAAATGACTTAAAATTGAATAGGTATATTGGAATTGGGAAAGTTTGAAGCAAGCAAACAATTCGTTAGGAAAGATTTGCTTGAATAATTTCACGTAAATACAATCTTTCGCTCGATTTGCAATTCACATAACGACCGTCGGCCTAAATTATTCATTTTATTTTTAGCGTTCCGCATTCAGGTAGCGGTTTTAACTCAATTTTCCCACAAACAATGTTTCAATTAAATTGATTGATGTTTGACTGCACTTAATAATGTGTGGAAAGATAAAATTAATAGGATACTATTGTTTCATTGTTTGCCTTTGAGTGGTAAATAATTATTAATTCGTGTGTAAAGTTATTTTTTGTTATGTTAAATGAATGCACGCTTCTTTATATGCTTTTAACGTAGCTATTTCCATTGTAGTACAAGTATTCATGTGTTTCAGCTATCTCCTATAAATGAGTTTATTGCGGCAAAATGATTTGGCGAGCCTCTGCCAACTTTGTAATGGGAATTGTAATTTTAGTACATTTTGATAATTTCATATCGTTGCATTTGTTAACAATGATCTTCTATCTATCTATACATATAATATAATAAAATCGTAGGAAAGTGACAATTGTACATCGTATTTTTTTTAAAAGAATGCTTCGTTCGTTATCTACATTCGATAGCGAAACTAAGAATATGGTTTTTAGAATTTTGTCTGTTTGTCTGTATGTACGTCCGGGATGAACTCAAAAAGTGCTGCTTGGATTTACCTCTATTTCAAACTTTGCATAAATATTATTAACAGGTCGGGTCAACATATAGGCTACACATTATCATAATATTAAATACGGGGGAGGAGCTGTGAATCACTATTCCACGCGGAAGAAGTCACGGGCTCAGCTAGTTATAAATATGAATACAAAATTATAAATTTATTTAGGAATTGAAAACAATAAAAATGCTCTTACAATTTAACGATCTATTCAAGATCGTTATAACTAAGTGTCCCCGCGAACCCAAGACCCCTTGCCTGGCAGTCGCACTTGCGACCACTCCGCCAACGAAGCAGTCAATCCCGTTTAATTTTATCAAATAAATTGTGTAGGAACGGAAACACACTCAATCTTGAAAATCAAGTTTACTATAGAAAAGTGTATAACTAACAAAAATGTTGCCACAAAAAAGGAAAACATTCAATAGTGTGTGACAAAAGCCGGCAAGTTCATTTTTCTAACCCCCAATGGGTCGCTTTTTTCTCAAAAAACAGCCTAGCGTGTAAGTGAGCCCCTTTTTCCTCGTTGTCAAGGAAAACCTGTACAAAACCACAGTGGCCGACTATAGGCCGTATCGCAACAATTCCACACAATCAACGCTAATTAATTAAGGAAGTTGAATGGATTTTTTTTATCTGGTTACAAATCTCGACGCAAAAAATCATGACCAAAATACTTTTTCTTTTTTTTTGTTGTTGTGCCATGTTCAATGCATTCAAATTTCGAACAATATGGCCGCTCTGTTATCTGTTTCCCATAGTTTGTATATAATCTGGATTATCTGTGAATTAACCCGTTAATGTGTATTAGTTTCGTGTGGACAATAATTAGGTATTAATAGGTTTATATCCACTAACGTAATTACGCTGATAATAACTTCAAATCTCTGTATTTGATGTAATCTGATCGCGTATTATGTGTCATGTAATGTGGACATGTAAGACATAGAGCATACCAAGTTATGTATTAATATTTACCTTAAGAAAACTAATAAATTTTCTTTTAAATATCTTTAGATTTTGTAGCATTTTATTCTATAAGAAGCAACCTTACCATCACTAGTGGTTTTTAATGTTAATAGTAAGATCAAAATAAAAATATCTCTGTCAGGTTTAGCCATTTTGATACTGTATAAACAATATTGTTATATACGTATATTCCTACTGGATGTAAGGCTTGTTATCCAGAATAATGTCTTAAACATGAATCTCCATACAACTGACAGATTTCATATAAATGTGTCTAGAATTTCAACTTTAGATAAAGATTTACGTTTCCTTCTACTAGACAAGGGATGATGGTGTCATGTGAACGTACGTAGGCATAAGTCATATATTTTGTGACATACATACATATATTGATCTTGGAGAGAAGCTGTTGGGGTTAAACTACATACTCACGTTAACACTGTAGATTCGCGATCAAGTAATCAAACAATTTTCACTCAAAATAGAGAAAAAGAGATTACTGAGTATTGCAACAAATAATCCCAAAAATTACCAGTAAATTCTCAGTACCGTTTGCTATTTCTGAAAATGTAGGAACATTAGCGTATTAAAGCGCATTACAGCGTTCCCAACCACAGGTAGAAATGTTATCAAAACAACATTTATTCAAGGATGAAAGTCCATTATAATCCTTTGCAAAAGCCTTAATACACTTACAGAATCAACCTGTAATTGAATATTAAATAAAAGTAAATTAAAGCCATCATCCGTGGCCCTGAATAATAGTAATCCTGTTGCCTCTCAGAATTGGACCCTTATAATCCAACCCTTCAGTTTCATCCTTGCTTCAACCCTCGTGTGATTGACGTTTCGCTAGCGATTATTACGGGGGTCTCTCAGAGCCCTCTTTGCGGAGTCCCAGATTACAACCGCTGAGTTTTTTAACTGTATATCTGTGACAGGACAGCGGTCATAAGGTTCTGTGCAGTGCTATTTTAATTCTACTTTGGACGGCGGCGGAAGCTATTTAATCTCATTGTGA